TTTTTTGACGAGTTGAACTCAGAATATTTTGAGAAATTATATTTCATATTCGCTTACCTTCTGTACTTCACTTCTTGGAGCTGCCATATAACTTGAACTTCTGTTACTGGATGGTTTCTTGCAGTTTTGCACAGCAATCACAAACTCATATTTGCCAGAAAAACAGCCAAGAGACCCAGGTTAATACAGTTTTAAACCAGAAAAATAAGCATGCCACGTCCTGTGTTTGGGGAAGAAAGAAGATGGGGAAGTGCACCTTGTGCTTCTGACAAAAGCATTTTATTTTCTTCTGTGTTTAAATGTAGTTTAGTGTTCTCCTGTATGTATTAATCTGTGTGGGGAAGAGGTAGGTCTGCCATGTTCTTCATTGGCCTTTGCCTCCTGATGATGATGATGATGAGGATGCTTGTTGTTGCCTCCTCTGCAACTTCCTTGTTGGTTAATTGCTTCAGAAATGTTCTTGGAACAAGAGAAATGGCAAAAGAAGTTATTAGGGTTGAGCAGTTTTTGCCTTTTGAGGCTTGTTGAAATAGGTCGGGTCAGTTACAAGAACGTACGGCACTCAAATAAGGATATGCACAAAATTGTAATGTTCAAAAATAATTTGAATTCCATTGCTTGAGTATTTGGATAGATTAAAGATGTGTTTTTGGGCCAACAAGGGTGATTAAAGATGTTAAATAAGTTAGTTAATTAAAATAATTGTAATATGATCTTATATTCTTTTAACAATATTTTTATTATATTATATTATATATCAATTTATAAGTTATGTAAATTAGTTTGAGATAAAATGATACGAAACATTGGTAACACATTTTGATTAATTAAGCCTGCCAAAAATAGTTAACCACCCCCCGGGGGGACAATGTAACTGAGCCTAACAATAAAGATATTAATAGAAACTGATTAAGATATTATTAATAGAAACTAATTAAGATACTGAATTTATTGTACTTTATTTTTCAATTTATCAAAGGATCGGTTCCCCCCCCCCCTTTCCGGGACACGCAGTAAGAAAGGGTTAATAGAAAGGTTTAAATATAAATTTCACTTATAACGCGTGTTAAAGGCCCTTTCTGCACGATTAGGATTTTTGGGCTATGGGCTGGCCAATGTTGATCCAAAGCTGGACCATTGGTTCGTAACCAATTGGTCCAAACTGGATGCTCCCACGAAATTGGGGGAAACGGCGTCGTTTTTCGGGCCCTGGAGGGGCAGCGGTTGGGAAAATATGGGAGAGAAGCCCAACGTGGAGAAGCTTGAAGCACCTCTGAAAAGTTTGAAATCCCTACCGTGATTCTCCTGTCGCGCCAACCTCCGGCTGTCACTGAGATTATCGGATTCTCCCTTTCCCTTCTCTGTTCGGCTTGTTCTGGTGACTTGGGAGAGGGCTGATCTTCGTCTCTCACTTCGTGTTCTGCTGTGCGTCAGATGTGTTCTCTTGCAGTTGCATCTTCATCTTTTGTTACTTCTTCGGCTCTGTAAACTGCTATTGAGTGGAGGTTCAGTTCGAAACTCCTCTCCTTTCTTGGTCTTACGTAGCCGTCTTGTGTGTGGGTGGGTTGAGCTTCGAATCATTTTCTTTTGGTTTGTTTTCTACGCGCTATGCACGTTGTAGAAGGGGAAATGGAAGTTCAAACATGCTCACCTGAAGCTTGAGAAGCTTATTTAGATAGAGGACTTCAGTATAATTGTTTTGGTTGCTGTCATAATTGAATCTAATTTTTGTGTTGCTGTATTTAAATTGGTTCTTAGTAAATATTTGCAATAGGGAAGCATAATAATTTTATACATGGATGTTTAGATAAATTTTTGGCAAAGGATTTGACGGTTGAAAAGCTCAATAAACTTGTCTGACCTTAATGCGAATAAGGTGTTTGTGAAAATGTGTAGGAGAGGAATTGAATTCGAATAAGATAGTTAAGTGTTCTCAATGTATTAAGAATAAATGTATATAGCATGGTGATTAAGTTTGAGCTAATAAATGGAATATTGAATCCGGAATAAAATAAATAAATAAGAATGTGATTTTTTTTAAGGCTTCTTTGAAATCTTGTTGAGATTGTTATTTAAGGCATATGCTATTGATTAAATCCACTGTTAACTCTAACATGAATGATTAAGGCATACCTTTTTATGTTGAAGCTGATTATTTGAATTAAAGAATAATGAGAGATTTCCATTTATAATTGAGAACAATTTTTAGATTATATGGGATGCCTTTACACACACCTAAGGTGTACAAACTTATTCCTTGAAGGATTGTCCACTAATATACTTGAATGGTGCAAATTGTTGGCCCATTTATTTATCATACTCGGTTTACATTTCATGTTTTGGCTTCTATGGGCACCGGGGACATCAGTACAATTATACACTTTTGAAAGTAATTTTTCCCCATTTATGCTCTTTGAAGCCAAATATCTTCTACTGAATGTCATTTATTTGTTGCTTTCTTGTATCTTGCAAATCGAGATCTCTACTTTCATGCTTTTGTATAATTATATTTTCTTTATATGGAGTTGCAGTGCATTTTACAAGCCTTCAACTACTATTTTGGTCTAGTTTGGCATATTGACTATTGATGCTGCAATGTCCACAACCAAGACTCGAGTTAGTAGCTTTTCTCGCAATGTTCCTAATGTAACATCTTCTCAGAATCCTGGACTTAAGCATGGCCCTAATGGAACGACTTTTATGTCATCTGGGATTTCGGATTTAGACAGTAATTCCCTCTCTTCTCACTTTCCTCAAATCATCTAGAGTACATGAATCAGTTAAATTTCATGCGATTCAATGTAGCCTCTGCTCATAGAACTTTTTTTATTTTTTAATTAGAAATTTTGGGTGGTGGCTTTTCTCTGGGTAGCCTTGTCATGGTGTTGGAAGATGCTGAAGCACCTCATCATATGCTTGTATTGAGAAATTTTATGTCACAGGGACTGGTCCACAAGCAACCCCTCTTGTATGCCAGTCCATCTAGAGATCCTAGAGGATTTCTGGGTACTTTGCCTAATCCAAGGTCATTTGAAGATGAAAAATCTCGTGACCCTGATCCTAATCACGTAACTTACTTCAGTCATTGCATTCTTACTTTGTGCATTCTGTTATGTATTTATTATTTTTATGTTATTCTTCATTGTGTGTAATTTTAGGATAACAATTTGAGAATTGCTTGGCAATACAAGAAGTATTTTGGTGAGCCACTGCCAAATATTAGCTCTAGCAATGGTAAGCTTGTTTGATCTTAAGTATACTCTAATGTTACCTCTTGAATGATTTTAATTTGGTTTGTCTCAATCAGACAGTACAAAGTATCTAGTTTACTTAGTTGCTATGCTTGTAGGGAGCTTCATGCATAGTATAATTCGTCTTGGCCCCAAAAAAAAAAAAAAAGCATTTTGACTAATATCATGGATTTCTAGCCATGATATTATGCATTATAAAATTGCATAAAGTCAAGTCTCTTTGTTATTGTTGTTTGGTCACTGATAAATTATTTTTGCCGGTAATTGCAAATAATATTGCTGTCATTTAAACAAAACAATTGACATATGGTGGCATGTGCTTTGAGAATGAAGTCTTTTCCAATTTACAATGCAATGGTCATAAATTTTCTCATTGTATAACAAAGTCAGCAATTTGAGAATGAAGTCTTTTCCAACATTTGAAGGCTTTTATTATTTTTTTTTTAAAATAAGAGGCTTTGATTTTCCCGTGAAAAATAACCTTGGATTTAAGTTTGTCGTTTTTTAGTGTCGTATTGCATGAGTAATATGATTTTTCCAATGATAAATTATATCTTTACCATGTAATAAATTAAGTATAATAATATGAAAATATGTATATTTACCAAATTATTTAATTTTAAATTATTTGATGATGTTAATTTTTATATGACCTTTTTTTTTATTGTAATATATAATTTGATTTTAAATATAATATATTTTGATATAAGGATGGGGGTATTTACTATGTCATTTCAGATATTTGCTCATTTTTTCCTCTCTACTTTCTCTCTTCCATCGTAATAGGAGGAGTGATGATGTTTTCTCTCCAATTTCATCTTCTCCCCATCTTTTCCCATTTCATTTTCTTTCCTTCCAACTTTTCTTCTCTTCCAAACGAGGGTTATTGTATTAAAAAGAGGATAGGGAAATTGTCAATATATGACGTCCAACCTCGTATGTGCAGATGAGTCACCAACTCATCTCATTGCAAATATTAAGCATGTACACTTCACATTTACAATGCAGGTGCCAGGCATGATTATTGTTATGACTTAGATTTGCGGAAGCCTCTGGAAAGGCAATTTTTTAGTGGCGTCCATGTAGATTGTGTCAGTATCAAAGATTTGACGAATCTTACTCTCCTTCAAGACCAATGCGCAACATTCTTAGCTCAATTCTCAAGGTGTTTTGATGGTTGATGAACTCTAGCTCTAATTCAGTCATTTTAACATGTTTGATGTGGGAAATTTGGTCAACTATTCATCCATATCATCATTTGGAAACATTGCAGGAACAAAAATAATGATCCAAGGATTTTGTGTATGACCAGGAATTTTGGTTGAAAATTTTGTTTATTCATGCAAAATAACTTATGTTAATCATTCCGAGCCCAAATTTTCTGCTTGAAACTGCTTCAACCTGTTAGCATAAATCGCGAGTGTAGCATTGCATTCCTATTGATTTGGTCTGCCTTGGTGCTGATCCTGGACATTTTCTCCAGTCCTAATTTTTTATAACGACTGCACCAAGTGATTTTTTAAGAGTTTGATGAATATGTTCATTCTTAATTAATAAACTTGTTGTGTATTTTGAATTTACTGACATTACATGGTGACAATCAGAAATGAAAGTAACATTTCCTCAGCTGGTCGGATTGCTATTCAATCATTCTGTTCTCCCCAATGTAAATATTCAGACAAGGTGAGTAACTATGTCATAAACTCTAAGGTTTAAATGATTTCCTTTTGTGTATTATGACCTTGTTTATGCTTTTGTATTTGATATTGCCAATTTAACAATTATTATCACAGGAATGGCAGATGCTGTCCTTTATTAGGTCTCTGAAATGCATGACCCGATCTTCAAATGCTGTTGTTGTTGTAACCTTTCCGCCTTCACTTCTTTCTCCATCATGCTCAAAACGATTGCAACATATGGCAGATACCCTGCTATCAGTTCGGGCAATTCCAGGTTCTACGTCAGTTATGACATTTAATATTTAATATTGTGTTATGGATGGTTTGAACTTTGCAACTGTTGGATCATTTTCATGATTTGTGCATGATAATATATCATCGATTATGATGAATCTTGAGATGATTCAATGGGCGAGAACTCTGAAGCTTTCAATAGCCCAGCCCTTTATAAGTTGCCTTAAAGGTGTTGTTATATTGTTTTAGATGAGGACAAGGAAATGGCACAACTCCTTACTGGTTACCAGGACATGGTTGGGCTTTTAAATGTACACAAAGTTGCACGCATTAATACGCAGGTCAATTTACGTAATCCTCATTTTGCTTGTCTAAAGTGCATTTGTATGTTTAGTTTATTTATTCCGTGCATGCATGCCTGTGGCACACACTTGTGTTTCGTCATTTGCTGCTTTAGCATTTAGCTTCTAATGGTAGTACTCTTGTTTGCAACATATATGTTTCTGCATTGGCTTCTTAAGTTCATACAAGTGACTGACTTGTGTATTCCAGTATTGGTCTTGATTTTTTGATATTGGAGAAGTGATTGTGTTTGGATCTACATTTCCACGCAGCAAACACTTTGAAAATGGTTCATTATTTCAAGGATAACTAGAGGTCTGATTAAAAAATTGGTACATGAACTTTAAAATGTAACAATAACTCTGAATTTTAATCTAAACTGAGAACGAACTCCGGTTAAAATCGACTGTAAGCGACTGCTTTATCACATCAAAATTGTCATGGATAGTGCGTTGGACTGAGAACAAAATTTTAGTTAAAGATCATGTGGCTTCTTGCAATTAATTTTACTTGGTACTTTCCAAAGCATTTGGAGGTATATGTTGATGTCTTTTTTAACAACTATCTAGTATCTAGTACCCAATGGAGAGTAGCAAGCAAAGATCACGCATTAAGAATGGAATTTTTTCTGTTGACAATGCATTAATAATGGAATTAGACCTTGATTGAGGGAGTTAAAATTCATATTTCCTCTTTTTCCCCATTTCATTCCATTCTATCTGAAACCGTCATTTTGAATTAATTTCATATTCCAGGTTCCTCTAATACTTGAAGCCACCACATTCTCAATAAAATTGCAAAAACGAAGGTTTTTGGTTTTAGAATGTCTAAACCAAGCTCCTGTTGATGGTTCAAGTGGGAATTCATACGGCACATCTGGTGGTTGTTCTGGGTCAGCTAAAGCTGGACCTCTGGACTTTTAGATGAGGCCTCTTTTTATTGCATTCATGCCTGCAAGAGTATATTTGCAAGTTGGTGTGAAGTACCAACATCTACAAATTGAAGTCTTGTTGTATCCTATTATATACTGGCGGGAGATAATATAACACTTTTTACTGCCATAACAGGGGGAGTATTCAAAGCGAAATTTGAAAATCCATGGTTGGTTCTTAAATCTTAAAAATTTGTGTTTTGATGTTTGTGAAAAGCACGCTACTACTCTTTGATTATAATAATGGAAACTAAAAGCTAGCTTCTAAATGTTTTATTCATTATTCGTTAATCTTTTTAGTAACATTTTTTTTCAGAAGGGTAAAGAACCAAATCTGTCTATAAAATCATTACTCATTAATCCTTTGAGTAACATTTTTTTAGAAGGGTGAAGAGCCAAATTTACCTATAAAATGTACTGTCAAGACATCAAATATCATAAACTTTTCTTGGGTGAAAAAATACATAAAATTTTGAAAATGGTGTAAAAATACTATGATCATTAAGTTGACTAATATTAAAAGCTTAATAAATATGTCGACCAAGAAAATGAGGTAAAATTATAGATAAACTTTTCATAATGGTGCAAAAAAATATGTATGTAAAGCATCTAACGATTATGGCGTTTTTGTATAATTTTGAAATTTTAATGTATTTTTTATATCATTTTCTTTACTTATATGTTTGCTAAACAATTAACATTAGTTGACTTAATGACCATGGCATTTCTGCACTATTTTAAAAACTTAAATGTATATTTTTACATCTAAAAAAAATTTACGGTGTTAGACACTTATAATGAAATACTTTATAGACAGATATGCACCTTATCTCTATATTATTAGAGGGGGTTGAATTAAAGAAAAAATATTAGCTTTTCATAACGTAATAAACCAATAATTAAATTAAGTTTATGGTGTTAAACACTCATGATTAAAATACTTTGTGGATAGATTTGCATCTTAACTTGTTATTAGTGGGGTTAAATAAAACCAAAAAATATGAGTTTTTCATAACGTGATGAATTAATATTTAAATTAAGTTTCTGTTAGAAGAAGTATTTATATTTAGTGTTTGATGATGACTTAAACTTACTTCTAACCAATGTTTTAAAAATCGAATCGACTGTTGACATGAAAAAGCCAGCAAGTCATGGTTTAGCTAGTTGGATTGGCTAGATCAACTATTGAATTGGTGGCATAATAATTAAATAAAAAAATATTATATGTTTATATAATAATATTTATATAAAAATAAGATAGCAGGTTATCAAATAATTTAAAACTCAACCTAAATAGCTCATTTCACAATAAATTAACAAACTCATGTGATAATAATATATCTCACAACAAATTATGGGTAGTGATATAGTAAAAACACAAATTAAGTCTCATATTAATCATTTTAGATAAAAATAAAAATGAATTAAAAAACTCTAAATAAGTTTTAAAAATTTGTAAAATTCAAAATATAAAAACGAAATCTGCTTTACATAGCCTTTCCATGTCTTCAAAACGTATTTCCCAAGAGTCCGAAAAAGCTAATGCCCAAAATTTAAAGACGTCTTTGGGTGGGAAAAAAAAAAAAAACACCTCTCACATATAGGTTTGAAGTCTCTCTCTTTCTTTCTCTTGTTTGTCCTTCAAGTTTTTCTTCCTGCTGCTTCGTTTTTCGGTGGCCATGGCTTCTTTTCTATATTTTTTATTAAAAAAATAGTTTATATTTAGCGCTAGTAGATAGGGAGGGAAGCTATGTATGTTAATATCGACATTTTTCTCTTCCTTCTCCTATTTCTTCCATTCCATTTCCTCTGCTCTTTCTCTTTTAAAGGATTTTTGAATAGAAACGAAACCATAGTTTTAAATGTGATTTTACAGTATACGAAGTAAGTGAAGTAAGTATGTAGAAAAGTTTGTTTTGATTTGCAAAAAAAGTGCTTATAAGAAACACTTTTACTGCTTCCCAAACACGTCATGAACAGGAAACTCCACGCCATGAACAGGAGTCTATCATCGTTGTGCGAGTCATCCCAGTCAAGCAAAACATATGCTGTGTTGCCGAAGGAAGCTCTAATAATCTCCATTAATGGCTAATGCTTCGCCATTGCATGTTGGAGCCAATCCTGCTTCAAAATGTTGCTTCCAAATTGATGCTCTCTTCAAATAACTAACTTACAAAATTCAAAATTCTGGTTAAAATTGATTAAAGATAATTTATTTTTCTAAAACATCCTTATTTCTAGAATGTGTGAGTGGGAGAGAGAACAAGTAAAAACATAGATGAGATGGATATATAATTAAGTGGGGCTAAAAATAAAAAAATATATTAAATAATCCAACAAATCTAAAATGAAATTTATAAAAAAAAAAACCTTTTCAAATATTTGAGATATTGAACTAGAGAGAGTATTAAATTTATATATTTGAAATTTAAAATTAGCATTTGTTTCACTTTTTAGATTTGTTTAGGGCCTGTTTGGTTTGAGGGGAGGGGAGGTTTCATCCTCACCTTATTTGGTTTGATTAAAAAGGAGGGGAGGGGAGGGTATTTAATGATGCCTTGTTTGGTTCAAGGAGGGGAGGGGAGGGGAGGGATAGTAATAATCAATTTATCATTTTATCCTTACATATTAGTTTATGTTTTTTATTGATATATTATATAAATTAATTTACATCTTAATTTAAATTATATAATTTAATAAAAATTCAGTCTTATCATGTTAATATGTGTATTAAAAAATTGGTATAGTAATTTTTTATTCTAATTAATATAATAATATATTTAAAATAATCAAATTAACAAATTTTATATGCTCTAAGAAAAGTGAAATTTTATTTTCTTTAGGCTATCTTTTTTTTCAGCTTTAAAATATATTTAATAAATAATATATTTATAAAAAACAATTAATTCTATAATATTATAATTTTTATTTAAATAATTTTTATAATATATTTTTAATTATAATAATGTATATATTTTTTATTTTTTTTACTTAGGATAATATATTTTTTATTTGAAATAAATATTATAATAATATATTTTATGAGTAGAAGTGGAATATTAAAAAAACCATAAGGACATAATGGTCCAAAATTTTGGCTCCCCTCCAAAAACTCCCAATTTGGAGGGGAGCCAAAATGGGGGGAGGGAGGGGAAGGGAGGGGACATTTTAGCTCCCCTCCCCTCCAAAATTTTCAACTAAATGAGGGGAGGGGCTCATTTTCCCTCCCCTCCCCTCCAACCAAACACACCCTTACGCTATGTTTAGCTTGATGAAGGGAAAAGGAGGGAAGGGATTTTAATTAAGGGAAGAGGAGGGGAGGAAAGGGGAGGGTAGCTACAAAGGGGAGGGGAGGGGAGGGGAGGGATTTTAATGATCTCCTATTTGGATTGATCGGAGGGGAGGGGAGGGAACAATTTTAATAATACCTTATTTTGTTCTAATAAAAAATTGACTATTTTAGCCTCATAAAATTTAAATGAATTTTCTCACTTTTTTATTTTGTTAAGATATAACTACAGTCACACACTTATAGAATATCAAGACAAAAACTCACAAGTGATAGATTTCAATTAGAGAAAAGACCTTGAAGGTGAAAGAAAATACCAACGGCCTCTTAGAATTAGAAGAAGAGAAAAAAAGTTTACAAATGCTCACTAATTTTGGAGATAATTATCTTAATAACCTCTTATTAGATGCTCAAAAGAACTCTCTTATGTAGAAATGTTTATGACTGATTAGAGGTTAACAAATCGAAAGGGCATATAAGGAATTAAAATATTATCTCTCGTCTTCCTTCCAAAAAATCCCACTTTTGGAGGGGAGGCTAGAAGGGAAGGGGAGGGGAGAAGAACCCCTCTCCTCTTTAAAAAACATTTTAACCAAATGAGAGGAGGGGAGGAGCTCCCCTCCCCTCCTAAAAAATTATACCAGCCAAACAAGGGGAGGGGAGCAACTTCCCTCCCTTCCCCTCCGAAAACCCAGTACCAAACATAGCGTTAGTTACATGTATAAGTTGAACTTATATAAACTTTTTAAAAATTTAGATATGAAGATCTCTTAAAACATTTTTCAAGAGTTGGGATGCACTCAACACTTGAAGTAATTTTTAAGGTATACCCACTATCTTAAAATTATTTGTTGCACAATTTCATTTCTAAAATATTTAAAATGATGCAATTACATTCATCTTGTAACATTTCAATTTTTTTTAAAATTTTAAGTTATATTTGAGATTAATTAATTATCATTGAAATTTAATCTTAATTACTCCTTCCGTTCCGTTTTATAAGATACAATTAACTAAATCATATTATTCAAAAAATTAGTTAAAATTAGTTAGGTGTAATAAATGTGTAAAGAGTGTAACATTTTTGCCAACAATACCCTTATTTATGTGGAACAGAGATAATGTGTGGGAGAGAGAATGAATGAGAATTAAATACAATTATATGAGTAATATGAGTAATTAAATAGGGGTAAAATAGAAAATTAACATACAAAATTTGAGACAACCTATAAGTGTCTATTGTAATAAGGAACATGATATACTTTATAATTGTCTCTTATAATAAGAAACAGAGGGGGTACTTAATTACAAGTTAGAATCTTAATTAACAAATAATAGTTAAATAATAATTTATATATATAGTTTAAATATATATATATATATGGATACATATATATGTATTTATATATATTATAAAGTGGGTGGCCAATCGTGAGGAAGGGGGGTTGATCCCCGTGCCCCTTTCTTTTATAAACAAAAAAGAAAGGAAAACAACTATTTAGGCATCAAGCGCGGGCTCACGTGACCCGCACTTGGCTTTTTAAAATCACACACTCACAGTCTCACACCCTATCTTCCTTCAGCATCCGCAAGCGACCTTCATTTCTTTTTCTTTCTTTTCTCCCTCGTCACAGCCTTCCCTTCTTCTTCCTCACTTCTTTCGCCGCAATAGTGGGTGTGTGTGAGAGGGAGATAGAGGATGTAAGCAAGAAAAGGTTTTCTTTGGTCTCATCTAAAACATTTAGATAAGCTATTTTCATACTCCTTTTTTTATTTAGTTTCTTCTTTTTATTTTGTAAATTTATGACAGAAAAGTAAATTTTTAGGGCTTGATAGATTGTTGATATTTGAAGTTTTTAACTTATTATTATGATATTAATGGAGCTTATAGGGTCAGAATAGGAGTTTTATGACTTATATTTTTATTTAGATGGTTTATTTGAGAAAATATAAGTTAGGGTTTGATTGGCAATAACATTCATATTCCAACAAAATTATCAAAACTCAAGCATTAAATCTTTAATATAGCCTCTAATGAACTAAATTAAGATATCAAATTCGAAATTAATATCACCGTTATCACAACTCAAAATTTTCCAATAAAACCTTAACTTACATTTCTTCAAATCAACCATCTAAATAAAAATTTAGGTCATAAGATTCCTATTCTGACCCTATAAGCTCCATTAATAATATCATAATAATAAGTTAGAAACTTCAAATATCAACAATCTATCAAGTCCTAAAAATGTACTTTTCTGTCATAAATTTACAAAATAAAAAGAAGAAACCAAATAGAAAAAGTAGTATGAAAATAGCTTATCTAAATGTCTTAGATGAGACTAAAGAAAACTTTTTCTTGCTCACGCCCTCTATCTCCCTCTCACGCACACCCACTGTTGAACTGTTGCGGCGGAAGAAGAAGTGAAGAAGAAGGAAAGAAAGCTCTGACGAGAAAGAAAGGAAAGAAAAAGAAATGAAGGTCGCCTATGGATGCTGAAGGAAGATTGAGTGAGTGTGATTTTAAAAGGCCAAGTGTGGGTCACGTGAGTCCACACTTGATGCCTAAATAATTTTTTTTCTTTTCTTTTATTTATATAAGAAAGGGGCACGGGGAATCAACCTAGTTCGAAACCTCTCCTCTCCTCTTTTCATTTTTTTTTTTTAACCGTTAGATTAACATATTTTAACGGTTCAGATTTTAATTTTTATAAATTATTTATAAAAAATTTTAAAAACATTTAGTGCACTTGCAAATCATTAGAATTAAATTTTAATATATTTTATAATTTATAATTTATTTATTTTATAATTTAATATTTTAATAATAGTTTTAAAAAGATTTAAATCTGAATCATTAAATATTAATCCAACAGTTAAAAAAAGAAAAGAAAGAAAGAGGATAAGAAGGCAAGAAAAGAGATTCAGAACGGGGATCAACCCCCCTCACAATTCAAACAGTAGGTGGCCACTAGCCACCCACTGTTATAATATATTTATATATATATAGATACATATATATATATGTATCTATATATATTTTAAACTATATATACATTATTTAACTATTATTTTTTAATTAAGATTCTAACTCGTAATTAAGATTAAATTTCAATAATAATTAATCAATTTCAAATATAACTTAAAATTTTTTTAAAAAATTTGGAATGTTACACATCCCCTAACTTAAGTTGTTGGGTTTTAACTCTATTTTCACCAAAGCAACCTTGTATATCACATCAATCATCAATTATTATATTCTTGAAAACTTGTAATTCTCGATTCGCTTAAAACGGGTCGGGTATGATATTATAAGATTTGAATATATTCAATTAATAATAAGATTTGAATAATATTTTGATTGGGATTTGGGTATAATAAATTAAATAAGGAGCATCATTATTAAATGAGATTTTAATGGAGGCTCAAATGAAGAAATTAATAATTAATTTTGAATTTTAATAATATCTTAATTGGGATTTGAATATATTGAATTAAATAAGAAGTATCATAAAATAATATGTCAATTGGGGTTTAAATGAAGAGATAAATAAATAATTTTAAATTTTTTCTCCTAAATTCCACATCTTTAATTCAAATACAATCTGAAGGAATAAAAAAAACACACTTCTATAAAAAAAAAAATCCTGAGCTATCTTAAATAATATAATTTATTAAAATTTAAAATTTAATCAAATATTTTAGTCCGTGCATCATACGGGGAAGAAATTTCTAGTTAGAAGTAAAATCTTGTGCAAAATTAATTAAGCTACTCAACGTACATTTTGTCCATTTTTTCTCCAAAACATATTGCCTATTTTATATTAATAAGACACCATAACTCATCTATTGCATGCATGCAAGTCTAACAAATTAGCCATATTTTATTCTACCGGATGAAGGATGATAGAGTGTGTGTGTGTGTTTGAGTTTGAAACTACTAAAACCTAATTCAGACTCAGTAACAACAGAATAAATTTTAATAACCCTAAACTTGTAAATAATGACCCATTTTTATAGAAATTTTTTATTTGGGATTTAGTACTTTTAATTTTTTTTTAATTCTCTCAAATGTATTTGATTTTTTACATTTAAAATAAATTAATATGCCTCAAGCTTGCATTCGTATCAACATTTTTAGCCAAAAAAACCATTTTTAATGTATAATTTGATTATTATACTAATCAACTGTACCATTTTCATCCATTTTTATAAGCAACAACTACCATCTTCCTCTTGTATTTAAATATAAGCAATATATGCAAATTGTCTTAAATTTTTGTGGCAAATTTTCTATTTTACCCCATTAATTATTTATTTTAATACTTGATATATTTATTATCTCATTTTTCAAACCATTCTCTCTATTTTATAATTCTCTTTATTACTCCTCTGGTCTTTAATATAAGATATATTTAACTAATTTGATTATATTAAAAAAGTTAGATGAGTTAGTTAATTATAAGAAATATGACATGTTTTTCCTAAAACACCATAATCATCTTTCTTAATATCCTCCCTCCTTTTCTCTTTGGTTATGGTTGAGAAAATATCCATAGGGATAATTTAGAAAAAATTGATAAATATGACAAATATATCTTACATTTAGGACCAAAATCAACTTAATAATTAGGTTATATATTAAGGACCGGAAAAGTATAATAATTTTCTTATTCTCTTTCTTATGCTTTCATTCATCCACAAATAATGATATTTCAGAGAAAAAGAATTTCTAATTTTTACATATTTATTGTTTTTAACTAACTTTTTAATCTACGGAATAAAGTTCAAGCTTGCTTATAATTAACTATTTAACTGCAATCCTCTAACTCCTCTGTGGTTCAGAAAATTTAGATGATCCATTAATTCTACTAGCTACTGTTGGCGGTAGCACCAAAATTCTCCAAGATCCGGTAGATCTTCCACCTCCTCTATAATACTAGGCAAACTTGACAGCAACACCTGCAGAGAACGGTAAATCCGAGTCGTGTCTTACAGACACTGTCCTTAAGAGCTATTCCGCAACTACCGACAAAACAAGAAGTGGCACTCCCCAGAATTAAACGGATTCTTCCTGTAAGAACAGGGTGAGCAGAACAACAAAAGGTAAAAGAACTCAATAAGGCAGAACACGAGATGAGGAAAGAGAGTTACCAGAAAGCTCAGAGCACGACGGTACCTCTTTGAACTTTCATCTCATGCCCCTTTTATAGGCTACGAATCACAATACCATTGGGCCTATTTAAACGCGCTTAATGATAATTAACTCATAATTAAATGAGCGGTTTCAAGTAGTAATTAACTTGTTTAATGACTATTTAAGAAGAATAAAGTCTTCGGTTATGAATATTGAAGAGGCATAATTATAATTAAAATTTAGATAGATATTTCCAATAAAGTGCTCAGTACTGCCTTTGACTCGTGCACAAGGGGGTGAGGGGAAATGGCCGGATTTGTTTCCGGTGGCCCATTGTACGCATAAGTCTACTCCTCCTCTTGACCCATTTGGTAGCCCACTCCTCCTCTTAACCCATTTGGTAGCCCAAGACCACTTATTATTTGGACCCTCACAATCCCAAGCAATATGGGACTATTCCTTTGACCACACATAATATTTACAACAGCTACTTACTACAAGTACAACCATCATCTACAAAGAGGAAAAAGAAACAGCGTTACAGAGACAGATCTATGAAATCAAGCGTTGAGTAACAACTTTATTATTGCAGAAGCCACACCAGCGAGCTTATGCACTACGCCGTTTTGATCCTCCAACGGCGACGACGCCTTCGTCCCTCCCAGCTTCCTCTCGCACCTATGCACCTGCTTCGCCGTATAGCGCACACAATACGCGGCGAACCCAAATTGACCTTGGCTGACGGCGTCGGCGGCCTGAGGGAGAGTGTACTTGATGAGCGGAATGTAGCATTCGGCGCAGAAAGCCAGGGAATGTTCCAATCGGCGATCTGAGGTGTGGTGGATGAGGGATTCGATGTGGGAGAGGGTTTCGGTGGCGTTCACGAGAATGTCCTTGACGACGACGAGAGCGATGGTTTTGAGATCGGATTTGGGAGTGAGAGGGTTGGCGTGCAGCGTGGCGGAACAGAGGTCGAAGAATGGAGTTTTCTTGCATATCCGGTCGATCAGGTAGCCGGAGTCGTCATCGTCGTCGTTCTTTGATTGGGTTGACGGAGGGAGAACGGAGGCCAGAAGAAGAAGAAGGGTGATGGCTATGAGAAGTGACGAAGACGATCTCATTTTTCCGGCTGTTGAGCTTTTTGCTGAGCCAGACGTTCATCAGCTGGTCACTTATATATGTAGAGGTTTTAATTTTAAATTATATGCATATATTTACCCATATTTTTCTCAAAATATTAATTTTAAAGTATTTAGATTTTGGAAAAAAAATTGTTGAGTGATGAGCTGTGAATGTACAGGAATATATATAATTTAATTTTATATAAAATATCAAAAACAAGAAATTCTAGATTTATAACTACTTCTTACACTCAGGTTAAAAAAAAAAAAACTACTTCTTATACACCCATATGAGGCAATCAATATTCATTTAAACTTATACTTCTCATACATACATATATTAAGGATCCGAGATAAATCAATAATACTACCTCTGGTCCTAATTATAAGAGCCAGTTGACTAATTTGAAGAGATTAATAAAGTAAGTTGAATTAATTATTTGTCCTAAATAGGTGTTGTCTTTCCTAAAATATTCTTACTAATCAAATGTATCGACTAGAACTCTTATTATTAGAAGGGTTACTTTGGAAAAAAAAAGTATAAATATGAGAGACAAAGTAGATTGGGGTCTTATATTTAGGACTAAAATAAAAGTCAAACAGAGTCTTATATTAAGGACCGGAGGTAGTATTAATTTAAACTAATAAGGTAAGAGAGATATTGGATGAATGGAAAGTAGTTATCAGTTGAATCATGATTATAATTTCTCTTTAGTAAAAAAAATTAAATAGATTTGATTATCGAATTTAGGGAATGAATTTTTTCTGATTATGAATATTTCACTTTAAGTTAAACACAACTAAATTTGTTTATCACTTTTTAAGTGATATAAAATCTCACTTCATAATTTTCTGCCGTTAGGACATATATATATATATAGAGAGAGAGAGAGAGAAAGTTCTGAAAACCTGACTACTCACTAATTAAAATGAAATTTGTGGGAATACAATTAAAAGAAAGGCGAGAAATGGACAACATATGCGATTCCAACTTACCATTATGTTTCTTATTTTAGGTTAGTTATACCCAAAAATTTATTTTAAAATATAAGTCACTTTTAGTATAATTAATGATCTTTTTTTAATTTTATTCCTATTAATTTGATAAAAAATTCATTAATTTAAGTTTGAAACAATAGCTCTTCGAAACACGTCCCTCTTTCTCTCTCCATCTCTCTTTCTCTCAGCTTTTCATTTTCTATACAGTCAGTCCCCTCTCCCTCTCTCTCTCAACTTTTAATAAGGGTAAATATGAAAAAAAAACTAATTAATTTAATGTATTTATTGGTGTGCGGGTTTGAAATACAAGTGACTTATGATAGAAAAACATAGTGGTATCTCGTTATAGTTATTGCAAATATTTTATTTTCAGACACATTAACAAATGAAACAATCACAATACACCAAAGAAACACAAATGCACATGAAAAGAATAGAAGTTTAATTTGCCTCTTATTAAATACGATGGGATAGAATTATTTATTATCAATTCATAAATAACAAACAAAAGACAAACTGTGTGTTGGCCTCTCTTCCTCTCTGGAACTTGAATGGCTGAATCTGTCGGTTTTCAAATTACTCAAAAGTCAAATCAACGAAAATTTTTGTCTTTTTGTTTCCTTAATGATAGCTTTATTTTGTTTATTACAAAATGTTCCCAATCTTCTTTTCATGATTGGTAGCACTCCACATGGCCACGCACAAGCTTACGGTTTCTATTCGGTCCTCACATTATAGTTATATAAATATAATTTTCTTGTCAATGGCTAATTATTCCAGTGACAACACTACCTAGTATGTTTGAATGAAATTTCAAACTTATACTCAGATATTGACATGTTTTTATGCGTGAGTGTGTTTGACTGTATTAAATCAAAAAGAAATATAATCTTCTTGATAGCATGATGAGTTATAATTAATTAATAAAAATTTAAAAATTAGTTAATTATTTGAAATATATATTAGTTTCTGTAAAATTTCATTATGGAAGTTATCCTATTAATATAAATCTCTTAAACATATGCAATGAATCGACAGAGGATGGTTTTAAAAAAATTAAAAATTTTAAAAACAAAGTAAATTAAAGTCTTACTACCTTTATTATGCTCCTTTTGATTCTCATAACAAGAATTTCTAACATGTTTTTTAATATAACATGTTTTGTGTAAGGTGCATGTGACAGAGATATTTGATTGATCTATAGTTAATGCCCTTCTGTTGCCCAGACAGTTTTTTTTTTTTTGAAAAAAAAGGAGAAACACTTCGTGCTTGCTGAGCATAAACACAGACATATATATAAACAAATAGAATCATTTACTAATGAATTAACAAAATGTTCAACAGATGACAGAGACTAGTAATTCTATTTGTTTATTAAACGTTTTAATCGATATTGCTGAATAGTTGTATCATGTTTGAGTAAGAATCTCTCTTATTTCGACGTCCATTGGTTCCTTTTGTGTAACATATCTTTAAAGGGAATTATGTTAATTGAAATATATAACTGCACAAGTGGTTTACTTATATACTTTATAATAATCACTATTTCTTTTCGTTGCATGCTACTCCCTCCGTTCCTTATTATAAGAGACATTTAATGTTTATGGCATGTTCCTATATATAAGAGACACTTAAAAGTTGTCTTTATTTTTTGTGTTGATTTCCTATTTTACCCATATTTATTGTCTCCAACTCACACTCTCTCTCTTTCCCACTTCTCTTTCTTTAATAATTTACCATTATTCTCTCTCATGTTCTCTCCTTATTAATGAGGATATTTTTGAAAAAAATTATACTTTTTACACATTAATTGTTCTTAACTAATTTTAACTGTTTTTTTATCAACGTAATCCGGTTATTCGTCTCTTATAATAAAGAACGGAGGGAGTAATATATACAATAAAATTAGTAATAATTAAATTACATATTCATACCTTGTCAACTTTGTATATAGTGTATCCACGTATATTATACGTAAGAAGTAAGTATTTCTCGTTTATATAAAAACAAACACGTTTTTTGTGACCAAGAGAGCAAGACGTATGTACAATATTACCCATCATTAATTCATCCCTTTCTTCATTCCGTCTAAAAGATTCGTTGTATCAAAACACGTCAAGCCAAGTATTTTAGTTAAAATTTGCAGCCTTAATAAGTTACCTACAGGGAGGGAACTTTATGTACGGGGATAGAGTCATTAATAAACATGCGACCAAAGAGAGCTCACACAAAAAGGTCAATGTTATGCCATTTATATTTGTCACTACTACGTGCAGAACCCAAATTAACATGATACTAGCCTCAGTTAGGGACGTCGATGACGTTAAAACTCGATATTGCATAATGCTGAAGAATGAAAGAACATCTAGTATTAATGGCTTTGTAATTTAGGATTAATTTGATCTGTGAATGTGTGTGTTTGTGTGTCTCATCGTCTAGCTTGGTACATGGAGATGAAGAACCTTTCATTTTGATAGGACATTATTCTAATCCCTTGTTTTTAAAAACACTTTTACCCAGAAACGCAGAAACATTATACTAAGTTCATCTTTCTTTTAACAACAAAAAGATCTTACGACATTTAATACTTCCAGAATCCACAATAACATCAAGAACAAGTAGTAGCACCAGATAACAAAGCAACAAATGATCACATAAGCATGAACCTACCAATATTCAAACACGAAACAGTCATTCTTACAGTAATTGCCTAACAATGGCAACAGCAACCCAAGCAAGATCGCGCATAGCGTCGTTTTCCGGTTTAAGCAGCGATTTGTCGCCGTCAAACTCTCCCTCGCAATAAATTGCTTCGTTTCCCATATCCTTCACACCGTCTTCTGCGAATTTAGGGTTCCCTTTTTGCAGAGCTTCAGTGGCTTCCGGAACGTCCGTCCTCAGCACCATGTCGTACATTCCCCGACAAGATTTCAATGCCCACTCCTGCTTCGGATCTAAATCCCCTCCTTGCAAGAGATGATTGATTTTGTTCTCCGTAGCTTTCGCTTTCGCCGTGATCACTTTCACCATAATCAGACCGAGCCCTGTGAATAATTAAACACGATTGACGATTGGTTCAGCGACTGATTCATGCCAAGAATTGAATCGACAGGATGAATTAATAATGATCGGTGTTTCTGAGAATATTACCTGCGACGTCGGTGTGGGAGCTTCCGGGATCGGATTTTAGGGATTGAACGCAGAGATCGTAGTTAGGGGTTTGCTTGCAGGTGGTTTCGATCAGACTTTCGTCGTCGGAATGGACCATCCTGATTCTGCTGCAATGGCTGGGTGTTATTACGAAGATTGTGGGTACAATGAAGATGATCATTAGAGTTTGAGATCTCAGATTCGCCATGTTTGTTTCAGAGATGAAGAAGAAGAATGGTGAAGAAGATGATACGTACTGCGATTTTACTGTGCTTCCCAGAACTGAATGGCACTGGGCCTTTTATAGTTTGGATTACAGAGAATGAGGGACCTATATAATAATTATTTTAATTTTTAAAATTAATTATTTTCAGATGAAGGATGTTTAGGGGTTATAAATTGTTTTTTCTGAGGGGGGAAAGGGTAATTTAGGACACTTTATTAGGTAATTTAATTTAAGAAGATTGAAGTTATTATTGTTCTATTATTTTTTTGGTAAATGAAATATTAAAGTTGTTATTTTGTCTTTTTTTGAAAAAAAATTACCATAGAGGCGTTTCTTATAACTAGCATTTATAATTTATTATTTTATAGTTATATAATTAGAATATTTAATTTCTTCCTATTTTTGTTCATCGAATTGAATTGAATCTGTGTACGTTTAATATATTAATTTGTTGGCTTTGTCCATGCATCGCATTTTGTTCACTTCAATTAATTTGGTATCTGGGCGTCTGTATTTTCATTTAATTTGATGTTAAATTAAATGATTAATTTATTAATTAATTAACTCTATCTACCAATACAGATAGTTCACGTAACTCAGGACTCCGGTTTTGTGAAGTGAATTGAATCCGCCTTGTGTACTGCACTGTTCAGATTTTTCTTAAGTGTCCATTTATTTTCATTCAAATAACATAAATCTCTTAAATTAAGTTATATATATGTAATTTAAATTATTAAACTGATGATTTCTCAAGCATTGATTCCATCATCTTGATTCATTCGTCTTTAATTTGCACATTGAATACTAATTCATCATCATCTTCTTTTTTTTTAAAAATTTTATTTACCTACGCACCTCACTGGGTTTGTGAAGTGAATCTGTACGTTGTGACATTTGAATATCGAATGTTTTCATTTAATTGAAGTCTCTCTTAACTTTATAAGTAGTGTAATAATTTAAATTATTAAAATTAGATGATTTCATTGTTTCTTACTCTGATATTAATATATGAATTGAATGCCAATTTAGGTTTAGGAGAATCCCGCAAAAATAAAAAATAAAAAACTTAAAGAGACAAGATCACAAGAGTATTTTCAGAAATTAGTCATGAATTTTTCCTCAAAATTTGTTAAAAAAAAGATTGTATTAATAGTTAATAGATAAGACTACGAGTATGACGACATAAATAGGACCAGAGAAAATAAATTAGATACAATTTTATTTTTCGTTTCGTTACATTATTAGTGTTTGAATCCTTGCATGATTCTCATCCGGTTCGTAATATAAGATACAATTTTATTTTTCGTTTCGTTTCGTTTAAATTAGATACAATCCTCAGCGCGTTATATGAATACTCATCCGGTTTTTAATATAAAACCTGTTTAATTAATTTGATTAGATCAAGAAGTTAGGTATGCTAGTTAATCATAAGAAATATGATATCTTTTTCCTAAAATATCATAATCGTCTTTCTTAATATCATCCCTCCTTTACTTACTTGATTATGGTTGAGTGGGTATCTATAGGAGTAATTTAGAAAAAATTAATAAATATGAGAAATAGGTTATATATTTAGGACCAAAATTAACTTAACAATTAAGTCTTATATTAAGGATCAAAGAAATACTATAGTACCATTTAAATGTGGTTATTTGATGGAACATTATCAAACTTAATTTAATTAGTGTAGCTTTTTAAAAGAATTTTTTTGGGGTTATCTGGTATTTATCTAATTAGTTTTTCTTGGTAACAATCTAATTAGTTATTTAAATTAGGGATAATATAACTTTTGGCCCATCAAATTTGCCCATATTTATTTTGATTTTAATTTATCAAATTTCTAACCATAAATTTTGGACAATGAAATTTCTTTCTATTTAAAATATTAATCTCTATACCTTATTTCGTCTTTTAAGGAATCAAAATTTATAATTTGAAATTTGATATATTAAAATTAAAATTGGGGAGGAGATTATGAGCCTATTTGAGATAATATTTAAAAGCACTTGTAAACACATTTTACACAAGTCAGAACAAAATTTTTTTTTACACACTTACCTCATATTTCATAAATCACAATTAAAAGGTTAATTACTATCTCTGGTCCTTAATATAAAATTTCATTTGATTTTTATTTTGATATTAAATATAAGACCTCAATCCACTATATGTTTCATATTTATTTATTTCTTTTTACTGCAGTCTTTTTCATAATAGTAGTTATAACCAATATACTCGATTAACAAAGGATATTTTAAAAAATTTAACACCTATTTATAACAAATAACTAATTTAATTTATTTTATTAGTCTATTTAAATTAATCAATTAGTTCTTATATTTAACAGTAGAAGTAGTATAAGACATTCCAAACCAGTCCTATATTAAACCATTTCGATTATCAAAGTAACTGTCTAACAATAGCAACGGTCACAGCCGCGGCATTTCGTACAGCATTATTTTCTCGTGTAAGCGGCGATTTCACGCCGGAGAACTCTTCCTCACAATACGTAGCTTCGTCTTGCGCATCTCTGACACCATCTTCACCAAACTTTGGGTCTCCTTTCTTCAGAGCTTCAATGGCTTCCGGCACGTCGTTCTCCACAACCACTTTGTACATCTCAGCACACGATCTCAATGCCTTCTCCTGCTTCGCTCCCACACGCCCCCCGTGAAGCAGCTGGTTGATTCTGTTACTCGCAGCCTTCGCTTTTGCCGCCGTAACTTTCACCATTATCAGACCTAGCCCTGAGAGCAAGCTCGATTTCAATCAGACAATCGATGATTATATTGACCCGGCGATTAGCTTCTTAAAGAGTTGAATCGTAGAGTGAATTATTGATGTTAGTGAGATTAAAAGTTACCTGCGACGTCGGCGACGGAGCTGGCGGGATCGGATTTTAGGGATTGAACGCAGAGATTATAATTAGGAGTATTCTTGCAGGTGGTCTCAATCAGGGTTTTGCGGTGTGGGTGAATCTTGCCGGCTCTGCTGCAGCTGCTGGGTGATACTATGAAGATTGTAGTGGCAATGAAGATGATAGTCCTCAGAGATTTCAGATTCGTCATGTTCGCTTCAGACAAGAAGAAGAAGAAGAAGAAGAAGAGGATGATGATGGTTGAAGCGATGCTTATGGTGATTTTGCTGTGCTCTGAATTGAGTGGTCATTGGCATTTTTATACTTCCACTACAGAGCATGAACACATACAACAAGGGATTATGATCTTGCAAGTCGATGTTGGCCAAAAAAAAAAAATCTTTCAAATGGATTTGGGAAGCAAGTGGGATACAGGTGTATACAGTAGTGTCGTATATATTGTTATGAATGAATTCTCGTAAATGAGTTTTACTTATTTCTTATAATTACCTTAAATGATCTATTTTTCACTTAATTACAAACTAGAACAATCTAAGCACTTGCCCTTTGGAAGAACAAAAAATTACAAGATACTCCTGTAAGTTGTACAATTAATGCAATGGATTCTATTTTTAGAAGATATTTAATTTCCTCCAATCCTAAACATGTACATGCATGAGGAAGGACTAAGGAGGTTTCTCTTTGATTTTAAATTTACAATTTTTATAAATAAATAACTTAGTTAATTTACCTACTTTCTATAAATTAGTTATGGGATTAAGATGTAAATTTGTTTTATCTACCGTAAAAAAATATAAATAGTCAGTATTAATATTATAACAATCAACGTTAGTTTTTCAATTGTAAGAGACAAAATTATTATGATTTTAAATTTTTAAAAACAATATTGAAACTAAAAAAATTTCTGAGTGCTCAATATTTTTAAGTGAAAACTCTTAGGATAAATTTACATATTAATCCATTAGTTATCTAATTTTTTGCATTTAGAAGAGAAAAGGGTGTGTATTATAGATATATAAATGATTGGTCATTATATTTTTCTTTCTAAGAATTCATTTGAATTGTAATTTTATTAACTTTCCTAAGATCTAACAATTAAATTTTTAGAGCATAAAAATAGTAACTTGCGATGTTAATTTTTTATAATACCTTTCATAATTGAGTTTTAAAAAAACTATTTTTCTACTACTGATAATATCAGAGAATCGCTGCCAGAATTCCACATCTAATCACAAGCGCAGTTGCTACCCGATAATTAAATTAAAATTGTTACTCCCAAAAATAATTTTAGGAGTATTTGACAAAAATAAATCTTTTTACCTAAATGGAAGGTACATAGCATAAATTTTTAGGAGAATTACAATGAGGTTCCAAACAAGGAAAACAATTGAAAAACAAGTCCCAAAAATTATCATTATCACTATAAGACTTGTCATTATAGGCTGTTGAGGTTGTTATTGAGACTTTTTGGTAATTATTTTTTTATGTGGGACTTGATTATAACACGTCCTAAATCTTTTTACCTAATTTTAAGTCACTAAGGTTGCAAATTCAATGATGAATTATAGAAAAAGACAAATCGTATCGAAATAAAAATCTAAAGAAAAGACAAGTGGGCATCCTTTTCATCCCACTTTTATCCTTTATTAGTTTATGCCTGCTAAAGTTGTCTTTGATTAATCAGAAAGATATGGCAAATTGCGTCTGTATTTGTAAAGTGATTTTCATTAAAAAAATTGATTCGATATTTCACAAAAATTAACCAATACTTTTTATTTTTATATTTTATAAAACTATCACCTCCGATCCTTAATATAAGACCATGTTTGACTTTTATTTTGATCCTAAATGTAAGACTCCAATCCACTTTGTCTCTCCTATTTATACATTTTTTTTAAAGTAGCCCTTCTAACAATGATAGTTCTAGTTGATACATTTGATTAGCAAGGATATTTTAGGAAAGACAACACCTATTTAGAACAAATAACTAACTCAACTTACTTCTTTAATCTCCTCAAATTAGTCAACTGCCTCTTATAATTAGGACCGAAGGTAGTATTTGTCATAAATTTAACTTTATGTAAAAAAATTTGCACATATAATC